AAAAGAATTTATGCATGACCCGTTTGTTTACGCAGTGCAAATGTTGTACTAGACAAATCCGGTAATCGCTGGTTACCGGATGTGGTCATGAGCCCACACACAAAAAAAAATGCGCAGTCGTCTAAAACAGAAATTTATAATAATATTAAACAAATAAAACAAATTTTTAATTAAACCGGAAGTGCAAAGTAGTATCAGGCATTATTGGAGAATCGACTGCGGTATTTCATATTGAAGATAACAACTTATTGCTTACGTATCGCATATCCTTATCAGGGAGGTGAAGAATAACCATGGATCGATTGACTCCCTACGAAGTTTGTTAGTTTGTTTGATGGTGTCGGGTCTAGCGTAATAATAATTATTATTATTGATAAATGATATCATCTGGATCCCGTCTAAAATTCCTGAGGCAATTCCAGCAAATCACATTGTAAAAGAAGGCGAGTGTGAGAATTTAACTTCCGATCGCACATTTGTTCATTAGAACGCGAAGATGTGGGGGTTGGCAAGGAGAGGCATTGTGATTGTTCCGAGTGAATAATCCCTTTCGTGCACACAAACCTTCTTCAGAGGTTTGACGTGATAAATTCTTCTTGCACATGATTCATAAACGATAACGGTAAATCTTGTTCGAATCCTGTTTCATTCTATCGGAAAATAGAAGAAACCTACGTTCTCCCCAATAGAATTCCTTTAATTTGCCACTGTTCTGATCCAAACTTTGCAACCTTTCCAAAAAAAGATTTAAAATTTTGGGGGTCCATATTCTTTTCCCGATTTTGGTTATATTCACAAGATTCCCTATTGTTTCCATTCCATTCTTGCACATGCAAGTAATCATTTAGGAAAATGAAGAGAAAAGAAGTCATCGAATTCTACCAGTCATTCAGTTCAAACAGCTGTTTCAGAACGCACTTTGGTCTATAAATATAAAATAAACAATGAATAACTTTTGATAATAATGATCCGTGTGATTGTGGGCGACTCACGGGTCACAATCACCATTTGTGGAATCACAAAGAATTTGGACTGTCTCCATTGTGCACAAATTTAGTATTTGATTTTGATTTAAATTCGTGAAAAGAAAAAACGTGTACGGTGCGATGTTTCGTGGGGGTCCTTCCATAACCGGAGAAGCCTCGGTGGATCACTTGCGGGTTTAAAAAACATCATCATCGAGGTGATACTGCGTAAATCTCCTCCCACCGATTTCACTCAAATGTCCCTATACCGTAGTAGGACTGCGTGTCTCCGATACCGTCCGTAGTCTCACCGATCGCTCTACAGATACGGAAAAAAAACAGAATTATGTAAGACTGCGTGTAAACACTGCATAAAATAATTTTCTTTAATTAGATTTTTCTCGAAATCTGATACGACGCGTGTGATTGGTGTTCATTCACTGTGATTGCGGAAATATGCTTCGTAATATTTGACCCGCCGACAAACAAAGCCAATAATGTACTGTATGTATGTATGTAAACCCTTCTAATAACAATAAATCTAATAAAACTTTAATTCCACTTTTGCATCTTGGAATTTCTCTTTACCAGATTCCGCAGTTTCAGTTTAATTGGAATGTGTGCAATTAATAAAAAATTGTGCTTCCTTTGGGCGCTTCCTTTTGTGCTTCTCTTTGCGCAACCATTATTACTACCCGTCTTCCACCACATTATCATTGTTTTTGTGTTGCACACAAATAATTGTGGGCTGATGAATTGACTCCTGCGAAACTGTAAATCTTCCCTGGTGTTCTTCTATCGATTACATTTTTTGAATGTAATAAATAAATTAATAATTTATTTATTATTATTATTTTATTACTTTATAATTGCTCTTTCTAATTGCATTCTTTCGTGAATTCTGTATTTTAAAATATTTTCGTGCTCAATTATAAACAAAAAATTTTTAAATACACATATATATACTGTATATACTGTATATATTATTAAAGAAAAATAAAAAATTTTAAAAAATTTTATATACATAATTAAAAAAAGACATTCCCCTGTTCACTATTGATTTTTTGAAAAAAATTTTTTATGGTAATTTTCTTTGAACAAATCTCTTTCCTATACTATGTACTCTATCACATGAGTCATAAACTTAAAGATATTAAAACTTTAAAAACTATCGCAGTTTTTTTTTTAGAACTTTATATATCTCTTTTTTTAAAAATTTTTATTAACTCTATCCTTACATTAATTCTTAATATTGCAAACTTATTTTTAAAATTAGATTCAATTAAGATTGCTATTTTCTTGCTTGTTTTTATCAAACATTTTTATTCATTTCTTTATTGACATATAATGCTATATTACTTTACAATTTATAAAAACAATTAATACAAATATAATAGTCATTCAAATTCTAACAATTCAACAATATAATAACTAAATTAATTGTAATAATAATATTATTATTATATAATGATACATTAATAATTTTAGTAATTGAAATTATATATGGAGTATAAATTATTTTATTATTGATTTAATTTTCAAATTCTTAAAAACAATTGTATTATAACTTAATTATTTGATATGTTTTAATAATAATTTAATTAATTGTATTAAATAATTATTTATATCAGCTATATCAAAAATTTATAAATTTTAATAATATTGATAAATTAAGATACTTTTAAAAATATTATTATTATATTTGTATAAGATATTAAATTTTTTTATATTGTTATTTAATATTGTATTTAAATAATTATTATCTAATTTTACAAGTTTTAATCTGTAACAAAAAAAAAATTTTTTTTAAAAATTAATTAATATTTTTATTTATAAAAATTAATATATATTTGATAATTATGAATTTAAGAATGATTATTATTTAACAATTAACAAAATCTATTTTTAGAATTTTACAAGTTTAAACTGTATAAACAAAATTTAAATATTTATAAATTACTAATATTGTTTATTTAATATTTTTCAAAATTAAAAGTTTTATATATAACATATTAAAATTTAAAAAAAAATAAATGATAAAAGTAAAAGTAATTAAATCTAAAACTAAATTTTATAATTTATAAATTTTATAAAAATAAGAGTTATATATTTAAGTAGAAATTATAAAAAACTATTTTAACAAAATTATAAACAAGTCTTGCTTATTTAAAATAAACAAAAAATATATTTACAAACTTACATAGTTGATTAAAAAAATATGTATCAAAAAAAAATTAATTAAGAAATTACTAAAGTAATAAAATACATACAGTATATTGATTTTAAAAATAATTAAAAATAAATAATTTCAGTATTAATTAATAATTTTATAAACAAAATAATAATTGACAAAATTAAGATAACTAATGAACCAAAAAGAAAATATCTAATTATAGAGAAAAAAAAATTCCATATCAAATTAAATATTATTATTAAAAAGCTTTTAAAAAAAAATTATTATTATTGATCTTTTAATATATAATTATAGTTTCAAAAATTAGATGTATATAAATTTATATAGACTTATATAAGGTTTGAAATATTATTAAAATTATAATAAAATTATGGTTCCAAAAATTAAAATTAAACAAACCTACATAAATTTATATGAGAGTTAAAACATTATTAAAAATAATAATATATTATAATCCATATATTAAATTTAATATAAATATGAAAAACAAAATCAAATTAAATCAAATTATTAAAATTCTTAAATAAAATATAATCTATATATTAAATATAATGATCTATGGATCTGTAGTATATTGGTTAACACTCCACAGATCAAATCACAAGATACCAGTTTAATCTCATGTGAAAGCAGTTGAATAAAATTAATATAGTATCTGATGCCATAACCTGTATAAGTGTTGTTTTTCATGAGAAGCCATTTCATATGCTAATCCAATGAGTGTTGAGATTATGATTTCCAGAAAAAGGTATCGTGGCGTGACAATCATCTGGTTGGTGTTATAATGATTGTCAGAAGTTGTAAGGTATATAAGATATTTGTTTTCAGTAAAGATAGCTTGATGATAATTTCCTTTCATGATAGCTGATGTCTCTTCCTACAAGTTTTCAAAAAGGCCTTATTCCAATCCAGTAATAGATCGCTCCAACAGTTATCTATCCCAAAAAAATAGCCAAAACAGCTACCTATTCCAAGAAGGTAGCCAAAACAGCAATAAGTACCGATAGCTGAAACAATTCATGGACAGTAAGTCTGTAAGATAAGTTTCTTGAATATTCTTGGGTAGTTATAAAAAGGTGAAAATTAAATGATACACCTATTTGCAAGTGGTCATATTTAGAAGAATTCTTTTTGCAGTAATATATTATATATTAATAAAAACATATTAAATATTATTTATATTATATATAACTTAATACTAGCAATTTATCTATTAATTCATATTTAATAAAACAAATTATACTCTTGAAGTAGACTCATCTTATTAATCTTTTAATTTTTATTAACTTTACTGGTGACAAAGGTAAAGAAAATCTTATCTTATCTTATAAATAAAAATCTTTTCAATAATTTTTATTTTAGTTTAATGGTTTTATTCTTTTTTATTAGATTACCAATTCAGATTATATCAACTTCTAACAGATTATAGAATTGTATGGATATAGAATAGCAAATTTGAAATAATTAATTCAAGATATCCTGTTTATTTTCTTTTGTACAATCTTAATTAACTAGGGTTAATCTTTATACATATAAATGAAATTGGTTAAGATAAAGTATAGCCCTGTTTATACATTCAAATTTTTGACATAATATTTTATATAACTTGCTATATGATTAATCAAAATTAAATTAAAAGCTTTTCTTTATATAACTTTTTTCTTATAGGATTTGTTGCAATTTTACAATCATCAGAAAAGCCAAAAGTTTATCTTTATGCAGCTTAATTAAAAAAAATTTGTGATAAATTTTTATAACTAAGCAGATTTAAATCTTAAATCTTTATCTGATAATCTATGGAGCTTTACTACTGAGCTATAAACCTATAGATTATCAATTAAGAGAAAATTATAGAATTGGATTAAAAATATTTTTTATATTTTTTAGAAATCTGATTAAAGAATAAATATTATTAAGAATATAATATTTAAATTTTAACAAAAAATTTAATTAGTAATAATTACTTTTAAAAAAAAAAAATTTCAAATAAGTATATAAAATATATATTAAATAAAATTCTAATTCTATAAATTAAATATAAGATATAATATTATATATTTAATTCCAATATAGTTTATATCTTATTAGTATAACTTTGAATAATCTTAAAATATATTTAATCTATATATTTAAAACAATTTTTAATTTGATTATTTATTATAAATTCTTATATAGATTAAAAAGTATTAATAAAATTCAAGTCTCCAAAGATGCCAAAGATCTCCAGAAGCTCTCAAATCTTATTCACAAATTCAACAAGCTACGACCTACAATCTGGCCCATCCAAGACTACAGCAAACATACAAGTATAGAAGAAATCGACTGGAACACCTGGAAGAAAGAAATAAAAGAAATGGTCCTAGCAGTTAGGGAAATATGTGTAAGGGAAGAAAACAAGCTCAAACTTAAAGACATTAACCTGGCTTTGGCACAGCGATGCCTAGACTATAAATGTGATCAAAAAAAGATGATCAACTCCCTTATCGACAACTATAAGCCGTCTGTCAAAATTGACAAAATCATGATGTCATTAAAGAAGGAGAAGAATAACTTCACACCAGACCAATTTCATAGCCCCTCCAAATACATTATGATGCAACTTCAAAAAATCAAGCAACAGGTAGAAGAATACTATATCCAAGCTTTTAGAAAACGAGACTCCAATTTCAAAAGTCTCAGTGAGGCATGAAAGAACCAATACAGGCCAAGACCTTACATAGATCATCAGTGGTTTGATCATCTTCTTGACCATACCAGCATGGCCGAAATAGAAGATATTCTTAAAAACTTATCAAATAACAAAGTATCAGGCTCTTCAGATATCCTTTACGAAGCTCTCAAAAAGCTTAAGATCCAAGGCAAAATGTTTCTGGCCAGCCTATT